ATTACACCAAAGGAAATAAAGCATAAAAGATGCTTCAGTCACATACAGTTGGGACTCTGTTGTAGCAAATTGTAAAGCAGCATCTGCAGCTAAGGAGAAGCAGGAAGACAAAATGACTCATTGATAATAATTACTATTTCTTGTCTGCACGTGTAATTATTAGAATTTTTATTCTGACTAGATTGAGTACAAAAAAGTTGTGAAACTAATGAATTTTACTAGCATGAACTATAACATTAATAACAATATAAACCGTCAAAATAAAGCATTAAGTCAACCACTCAATATAGTTGGCAGGCACAAGACCTCTCTTCCCTGATGAATTAGTAGCTTGCAACCAATCTGGCTCCTCAGACTCCACAACTACAGTGTATTATAATTTAAAGAATAATAAAGATAAATATAGATTTTGTTACCATTAATAAATATTTCATCTTCACGAAAAGAGAGCTCCAACTCATCTTCAGCCTCACAATCAAATAAAGCCTTGGCACGCCTAGAAGATCATGATAATTATTAATTTACTCAGTACTACTAACAGAGTAAGTACTATCAGCAACACATGCTTATACTGTATATACATGCTTAATACTGTATAGCCAGAGATAATATGTTTCACAGTTATAATTTTTTAGACTTTTTGTGTTACAAAAGGTCTAAACAAAGTTTTGACAGGCTAGCATTATTGTTAGTTTTTCCAATCACAATCACAAATGCATTTATATTTATTGAAAATTCACAGAAAAAGGCCAATTAAGTACTGGCTGTAAGCCTGTTACATTGAGCCCTGATAAAACACACTGAGCTTAATATAATAAGTACCTGCCAGTGCTTGGTTTTACTGGTGGAGATGGAGGGGAACGCCTGCCATCAATTCATAATAATAATAATATTAAAATAATAAATAAAACCAAACCTTGAGAGTATGCTTGGCTTTGCTTTAGAGGGAGGTGGTTCAGGCGGTGATGATTGAGAGTAAGGCTTTGTAGCTGTAGGAGAAGGTTGAGGAACAACCCTCTGAACGGCTAAAACAAGATACAATAGTAACGTGCAAGGAAGAATGATGCTACTTACAAGTTTGTCTCTGTGTTGGTACAGGCTTCTTTGATTCTAAATGATCAAACTGACCAGACTCTGGAATTAAATAAATAAAATTATTTATAATAACACTCCTGTTAGATTATAAGTGCATTACAAATAATCAATTTTAATAACAATAATAATTTTCATAATAATTTTTTGTCACTAGGATTAAAATTATAAAAGCTTTGCAAACCACAAAAATTGAAAGGAAAACTTTGATTCTACAAAAATTTTACAGCAATGTCATACAAGAACAAATACGAGTAAATAATTTTAAAAAATTATTTCTGTCAATTTTGATTTCCCAACCATTAAACTTTAATACCTTAAATACGTACATGTACATGTATTACCATGTAGAATGTTTCTGTCTTGTCCACTGACTGGTACTGTAGGCAGGTGGGGTCAGAGCAACTGACTGCCTCTGTGAGACAGGAGGTGGAGGAATGTCTTTATTACTAACTATCGGTATTACTGAACTAGAACTACTACAATCAATAATAAAATAGCAATAATGACATTAATAGTAATGGTAATACAATAAGTACATGTAGTGTATGTTAGGATTGTACTTGATGTAACTGTGCAGATATATATGCAAAGCTATAAAAACTGGAAACTTCAGAGGAACTAATTTTGCATTTTGTTAAATTTTTGAAATTTAAGTCCATAAAATTGTGGATATTACATGTACTGTATTGTAGTGCTTGTCAGTCACATACAACTGGGACTCTGTTGTAGCAAATTGTAAAGCACCATCTGCAGCTAAGGAGAAGCAGAAAGACAAACTGACTGATTGATGATAATTTGATAATTACTATTTCTTGTCTGCATGTGTCATTATTAGAATTTTTATTCTGACTAGATTGAATACAAAAAAGTTGTGAAACTAACAAATTGAACTAGCATGAACTATAACATTAATAACAATTATCATTAACTTGTATATTAACATTAATAATAATATAATAATAATACAAGCATTTTGGTAAGTATATCTGTGTTAAACTGTTATGTGTTTAGAGGTACGTTACAATATTACATTACATTTAAAGGAAGTAAAAACAATAATATACAAATGTGTGTACTCTCAGTGCTTTGTTCAACAACTACACATAATGAAGCATGCTGTAATGATAAAAATGTCCTGTCAAGATTGACTAGACCTACATAGCTACTTGCTTGGTAAAAATAAGTGGGTTACTATAGTATGGCTGAGTTTATTTTTGTCATTAGTCCAACCCATTATTTAGACTTTATAACATAAGCTTTATTAAAAACTATACAGATCACTTAACTTACTGCAGATAAAGAAATGTTATCCACCTCATCATATCGTTGTTCTAACAATTTAAGCCCAACATCCACTATGGCAACTTTGTTGAAAGCAACTTTGGTTACTTTGATGTATGTCAACTTTGTTGCCAAAAGTAGAACAGTGTTCTACTTTTGGCAACAAAATTTCTGTTGATTTCAACAAAGTTGCCTAGTGGATGTTGGGCTTTATTCTGCAGCCTATAGAAATTTGTGCCCATGTGAGCCCAAGCATTTGATTGGCCAAATCAATTTTCAAAGGCTATTGTGCAATTCATTGTTGTGTTGAAATTTCCTTAATAACATCTGGCAGCCATGTATGTTTTTCTTTAATAAGAATGTCCACAATAATTTTAAATCTAATTTTCCTTCTTTTGCTGCAGTACATTGATTGTGCTGGTAAGTTAAAGTATATATTCTTTTTTTATTTCATTTTTTATTTTTATTGTGGTTAATAGATATAACGCTTCAGCCAGTGTCTATTAATGCAACACTCAACTCTACTGTTGTCTTCTCTTGTGAAGCTGTGGCTGATGATCTTTCCTTCAGGGTTAATAATACACAAGCTACTAACATAGGTGTTATAGCTAAAGGATTCAGTGAGACAGTATTTAATAATGGTGGTACTAGAGAAGCAGAGCTACAAGCAATAGCCTATGATCATAATAATAATACTGAAGTTCAGTGTAGAGCTTTCACTGATGAGCCTTTTGATGTAGTATTCAGTAATACAACAATATTAATGATACAAGGTTAGTGTGTGTGTGTGTGTGTGTGTATATCAATACTTACTTCTTAGGTCTATTGAATAGTGTTGTTGATCTGGATTACAGCTTTATTAATGGATCCAGTGTATTATTAACATGGACAGCTCCTTATACACTGGATAATGTACCTATCACTGGATACTATATTGTCAATGGATCAGTGAACATTACTACTACTAAGAAGAGTATTATATTATCAGCTACTAACCCTGATCCTTGTATATTAAATAATGTATCAGTTTCTCCTATTAATGATGCTGGAATAGGTTCATCTAATAACATCAAATTTTATTATGAAACAGGTTAGTCCTACTATGGCTTTGCTTTATGTTTACAGTGCATCTTTCAGTTCCTCTCATTACTCCTCCTGTATCAGTGGTACCAGTAATTGATGGACAGCAAATATCATTGAATATCAGTATTAATGTAAGCATATTCACTACACAATAGCAAAACAACACATAGTTGTTATCAAAAGTATTCACATGATAGTTTACAACTTCACACTAAATGACTTCAGTTCACCTTATTCTCACAATAATAGGTCAGTACCATATGTAAAGGAGAGTATCCTAATAGTATGACAGTTAATATACTGAATAATGATAATGCAGTACTAAACAATACCAGTTTATCAATATCAACACAAGTTAATGGTCACCTGATGATTACTGGAAGTACTAGTTCAATAACTAATTTGAATACATTTACTGTTAATGTATCATTGAGTAATGATGGAGGAATATTTAATCATATGTCATCTTTTTGGTTTAGTAAGTATCTCATTTTTATTATGACTTATATACACACTAGGTTTTCTTGGACCAGTTACTAACATTAGCTCTTCAATTGACAACTGTTCTACTATTGATATAACATGGACTGCTCCTAATGTTGATGATAGAGTACCTATACTGTATTACATACTAAGATTATATGATGCTATTACTGGTAGTCTAGTTGATACTGTATCAGTATATTATACCAGTTATCAGTTTGT